TGATTAACACGCTGGTCCTGTGTGGGGCAGGGAGGGGAGGTCGGGGGGACCTAGGGGCCCAGGACTGCCTTAGGACTTGGTAACTCCCCGGGGAGAACCCAGGACACAGTGCGCAGCCCGGCTCCCGGGGAGGATTTCTTACAGCCAAAGGGGAGACGGCACAAAGTTGGCAAAGGGAAGGCCCACCAGCCACCCCCCGGGGGACCTGGCCCTGTGTCCAGTGGCCTCCCTCGGGGACGTCACACAGGGAGCTCTAATTCCTCAGCAACAGTGGTGACAACATGCGTGAACTGCCATCTACCTGCAAAACTCATTAGAGACTTGAGACCCTGTGTTTTTCCTGGCTGGTCACATAGGCACCATCCCCCGTCACCGTCCAGACCCGTGGACTCCCGGAAGGAAAGTGGAGTTCAGCATAAACCAGCTGTCCAGACCGGCAGCCTGGGCACGGTGGCCCTCGGGACTGCTCCAGAGCCGCGTTCCCGGGGCCAGCTGGGGGCCTGTCCGGTGAGAGCGTCTCAGGCCCCCGTGTCAGGTGTTTCTGCACAGAACCCGGGACTGTGCCGCGGGAACAGAGGTGGAGGATCGGGGTCCGGGACCGTGCCGCGGGGACAGCGGTGGAGGATCGGGGTCCGGGACCGTGCCGCGGGGACAGGGGACAGCGTGGACAGCAGTGGAGGATCGGGGTCCGGGACCGTGCCGTGGGGACAGCGGTGGAGGATCGGGGTCCGGGACCGTGCCGCGGGGACAGGGGACAGCGTGGACAGCGGTGGAGGATCGGGGTCCGGGACCGTGCCGCGGGGACAGCGGCAGAACCTGAGTCCCTGCCCTTGCAGGGCTGGTTGTCTTCTTGGAGAGGCTGCAGCATGTAAGATCACACCAAGTGGAAGGAAGACCCAGCACGGGCTGAGGATTTGGCGTGTACGAGCGGACTGGAGCAGGGCAGTGGGTGTAGATGTGTGCTTAGTGCGAGGTCCCTGGAGAAAGTGCTGTTAGGTTGGGGGGTGCTCCTTGTGCCGGGGGGGAGCGGAGGGACCGGGGCAAGCAGCTGCAGAGAGCATGGCGGGGGGAGGGCTTGGCACATTTGAGGAAATGAAGGAAGCAGGGCTGAAAGTGGGGTGTCTCAGATTAGACTCATTTTCAGGGCTAGTCCATGACTCAGGCCATTTCTGCTCCCAGAATTTCTCCCATCTTCTTATCAAGCCTGAGATTGAGTGGTCAGGTTTTTCAATATATAATTTGAGTTAAAACGTGTAATAAAATTCCACACTCGGAGGTAACACTAGTCAGTGGTGAGCCTCTTCAAGTATAGCAAGATCAGACAGGAGAAAACGGTAGAAACAAGGGTAATTGTGCTTTAAGAGGTGAGGTTTCAGGGCGCCTGGGTGGCTTAGTAGGTTAAGCGTCCGACTTTCGCTTGGGTCATGATCTCACGGTTCGTGGGTTCGAGCCCAGCGTCGGGCTCTGTGCTGACTGCCAGCTCAGAGCCTGGAGCCTGTTTCAGTCTGTGACTTCCTAGAAATAAATAAAACAACAAAAAAAAAAAAGGTGAGGTTTCAGGGCGCCTGGGTGGCTCAAGTCAGTTAAGTGCCTGACTTGGGCTCAGGTCACAATCTCATGATTCCTGAGTTCAAGCCCCACATCGGGCTCTGTGCTGACAGCGTGGAGCCAGCTTTGCATCCTGTGTCCTTCCCTCTCTATCCTTCTCCTGCTTACTTGCTCTTTTCCCTCCAAAATAAATAAACATAAGAAAAGGATGAGTTTTTAGGCTTATTATCTTTATTTCAACCTCCATTATTGCTTCTGTGGCCAGTAGAAAATATATCCAGTTACTCGTCTGTGTTCATTTTCCTTTTTTTTTTTTTGATGTTTTTTTATTTATTTCTGAGCGAGAGAGAGGGACAGCGTGAGCAGGGGAGGGTCAAAGAGAGAGGGAGACACAGAATCTGAAGCAGGCTCCAGGCTCCGAGCTGTCAGCACAGAGCCTGACGTGGGGCCTGAACTCACGAACTGCGAGATCATGACCCGAGCTGAAGTGGGACGCTTAACCGACTGAGCCACCCAGGCGCCCCTCATTTTCCTTTTTTATAGCAAGAGGATTACAACCCATTTAAGGCTTACCTTGTTTTATTGCACTTCACAAATACTGCGTTTGCTCGTACAGGTTGAAGGTTTGTGGCAACACTGCTCGAACAAGTTCACTGGCACCGTTTTTCCAACAGCATTTGCTCACTTTGTGTGTCTGTGTCACATTTTGGCAATTCTTGGCAATATTTCAAACTTTTTCATCATCATCATGTTTGTTATGCTGATCAGCATGTTACCATTGTAATTGGGGGCACCGTGAATGGCACCCGTATAAAATGGCACATAAGCACCCTTAATCGATAACTGTGCTTTACAACTCCTCCTCTGACCAGCCATTCACCCTGTCTCCCTCTCTGTGGGCCTCTCGCCGGCCCTGAAACACTGCAGTATGGAAATCAGGCCGGTTACTCACCCTACAGCAGCCTCTACGCATTCAGGTAGAGGAAGAGTCGCACATCTCTCCTGTCACAGCAGAAGGTGGTGATGATCCTGAGGAAGGCACGCTGAAGGCCGAGAGAGGCCAGCAGCTTGGCCTTTTGCATCAAACTGTGAGCTAGGTTGTGAAATCGAAAGAAACGTTCTGGAATGAAATTAAGAGCGGTAACCCAGCAAACGTGCAAATGATACGAGAGTGAAGCAGCCTTATATTGCTGATGTGGAGGAAGTTCTCATAGTCTAGATAGATGATGTTAGCCATAGTTCCCCTAAGCCAAAGCCAGTCCGTAGCAAGGCCTTAATTCTCTTGACTTTGATGGAGGCCGAGAGAGGTGGGGAGGCTACACAAGGAGAGTTGGAAGCTAGAAGGACGGTCCGTGAGGTGTCAGCACACAGGCCGTCCTCATGACGTCAGAGGCCCAGGTGAAGAGCAGATTCCCCAGAAGGTCTAGTTGAGGTAATCAGTGATGGTGACTACATTGAGCAGCAGGTTTTCCACGTGAACGACCCCACTGCTGGTGGAAGTGGACGCCGTCGTGCACTTCCGTAGCTGTGTCAAGTCCGGGCCGGGCAGGCGGCAGGCAGCCTTACCTGTTAGGGGCTGATGAAGCTGGTGATCTGAAGTTGAAGCCGATGCCCATTTACTTTTCCAGAATCATAGTGCTGCAGTTCCATGGAGCATGACACTCAAGAAGGTCAAGAAAGAATTTTTTTTTAAGTTTATTTATTTATTTATTTTGAAAGAGAGACGGAGAGAGAGAGAGAGAGAGAGAGTGAGCACATGTTCCCCTGCAGGCGGGGAAGGGGTGGAGAGGGGAGGATCCCAAGTGGGCTCTGTGCAGAGTCCGACACAGGGCCTCAAACTCAGGAAAGTGTGAGCTCAGGACCTGAGCTGAAATTAAGAGTCGGGTGCTTAACCAACTGAGCCACGCAGGCGTCTCAGGAAATAATTCCTAAGACATTTCATGGTGCAGTGTAGTAAGTTTATGTAAGTAGCGTGAGGACAGGCCCCACAGGAGGAAGGGCTGCACTGGCTGCAGGAGAGGATGTGCATGAAGTATTCAATCACGAATTTTTTTAAATTTCTACTTGTAAAACTACTTTTGCAGGAGTCTCTGGTTCTTATCAGTTTGGTGTGAACTATCGGTGAGACACACAGGCAGGCAGGAGACCCTTTAAGAATGTAGCAACCTGTGCGTGCCTGCTCCTTCCGGGCTCTGTGCAGGCTCTAGGTCAGCCTGGACTAAAGGTGAACATTTGCCTGCTTGTGTCCTTCGTCAGGAGGGCCCTTCAGAACATACTGAACCTACTTTGCCCGGGTTCTCTAAATGGAACAACGAATGACAGCACATCTGTTTACAACATGGTTTACCGAATACTTGAAGCCCACTGTTGACACCTCTGCTCAGAGAAAAAAGATTTTTAAGAAAATATTACTGCTCATTGATAGTGTACCTGGTCACCCCAGGGCTCTGGTGGAGACGTACAGCGAGATGAACGTTGCTTTCATGCCGGCAAACCCAGCATCCATTCTGCAGCTCCTGGATCAGGGGGTAATTTTGACCCTCAAGTCTTATCACTTACAAAATACATTTCCTAAGGCTACAGCTGCCATAGATAATGATTCCTCTGATGGATGTGGGCAGAGTCACCTAAAATCCTTGTGGAAGGGACTCACCTTTCATCATTCTAGATGCCATGAAGAATACTCGTTGTTCATGAGGAGAGATCAGAGTACCAGTGTGATATTGGTATTTAATGGAGTTTGGAAGAAGTTGATTCCAACCCTCATAGAGGACTTTGAGGGGTTCAAGACTTCAGCGGAGGAAGTCACTGCAGATATGGTGGGAATAGCAAGGAAATGAGGATTAGAAGCAGAGCCTGAAGGTGTATCTGAATGGCTGCCATCTCCTGATACAACTGTAGCAGATGAGGAGGTGCTTCTTACCGCTGAGCAGAGAATGTGGTTTCTTCAGCTGGACTTTCCTCCTGGTGAAGACGCTGTGCAGATGGTTGAAATGACAACAGAGTATTAGAATGTGATGTAAGCTTAGTTGATAAAGCAGTGGCAGGTTTGAGAGGATTGACTCAAATTTTGAAAGAAGTCCTGTGGGTAGAATGCTGTTAAACAGAATCGCGCGCTGCAGAGAAACCACCCCGGAAAGGAAGAGTTCAACTTCACGGTTGCCTTATTTACATTTGAAATTGACGCCACCACCCTGGCCTTAAGCGTCCACCACTGGGATCAGTCAGCAGCCGGCAACGCTGAGGCAGGGGTCCCCACCAGCATAAGATTATGACTTGCTGAAGGCAGTTGTTAGCAATAAAGTACTTTTTAATTAAGGTGTTATGTACACCGTGGTTTTAGACATAATGCTATTGCATTCTTAATAGATTCCAGTATAGTGTAAACATAACTTTTATAAGCACTGGGGAGTAAAAACACACATTTGATTCACTTTATTGAGATACTTGCTTTGCTGTGTTGGTCTGGAACCGAACCCGCAATGTCTCCAACGTAGACCTGGGGCTACAGCTGAAGAGAGACATCAGATGCTTTCAGATCTGTCATTTCATAATAATACTATTTTGTGTAGTTGCCCACCTACAGGAGAATGCTGCGGAACCAATTCACTGTGAAAGTAGGTAAATAAAGGGGAACAAATGAAGCATTTATCCAGTCATATTTATATGAGCTAAATAGCTAACAAGGTGAAGTTTCTCTTGTGATATTTCAGTTAATAAATGAAGAAGACATTACAGAATTAGGAAGCCGCTGTTTTCAAGCCCTAATGAATTCGTAACTCTTGGACCACAGGTGTGCTAGTGTCGCAGACGGAGAGACAGCCAGGTGGTGTAAACCTGGCTGAAGAGCACAAAATACCACTCCAAAACTTCCCTGCCAACCCCCAGATTGAATCTCAATTTGTCCAGGTCTCTAGACCTAATTTCAGCTTTCAGGAAACACAAAGGGCAGATACACATGGTAAACACCACCATAAGGATACAGTGAGAAAAATACAGACTGTAGAAAAGCATAGAACAAATGATGTGTTTTCTTCAGTAATTATAATGGGGACAACGAAATGGATGGAGGGGGGCTTACAGGGTAAGAGAGACCTCAGGAAAGCAGCACAGAACTCCAGCTGCAGAATACAGATCTTACCTTGCTCTGGGTTCATTCAGCAATGAAAATAGAAACTTCAACATTTGGATGTTGGTGGTCTTAAAAATAATGACTAATATCTCTGTGGATGTGATGATAATATTTGTGGTTAGAATAGTTCTTGTTTTCAGAGATAGACGTTGACATCTATGAATGTATTAAAATGATGCATGAGGTTGTTTCAAAATTATATGAGAAGAGAGTGGGTGGGGGCCACAGATGGAAAATATTGGCTCTGAGTTGATTATTGTTGAAGCTGGGTGTTGAGTACATGAGAGCGCATTATGTTGTTTTGTGTGGTTGTGTGTGTGTGTGTGTGTGTGTGTGTGCGCGCGTGCGCACACGTACACACATATGGAGTCTCTGTTGGAGAAAACTGAATTTGTGGGTTGCAGACAGCAGTAACCAAAAGGTAGTATGACTGTGTTACGTGACCAGAGGCTTGTGAGATTTCCGCTGAGGTGGAGGAAAGTAGCCTCTTGGTACTAGGCTTAAAAAAAAGATGAAGAATGAATGGCCATTGTTATTAGCATTTTGCCACTGATACTTTGCGTTACCACTGATTGAAGCACAGCGAAGCTAATCCTCCTTACTACCACCCTGTGGCCTGGTAATAAAATACAAAGGTCGGAGGAATCACTGTAACTTTTCTCTATTTGTTTGTTTCTTGAAAAAAGTTACTCAGCATCAAAAATGAAGCTGTTCCTTATCTGTTCCACAGGTTGTTGGCTGGGTTACTAGCCATGGAACCCACTGTCGTTACAAAACTACTTACCAGTCTTTAGCTGTGTGTGTTACATGCCTTCAGGTTCAGTGCTGCGTCTAACCATTACATGTACCATTCTGCTGCTTTTGCTTTGGTTTCATTTAGGTTGTGATCCTTCGTGGCATTTTCAGTGGGCATTATGGAAATAATGAAATTCATCCAACTGTCTCCAACTCCGCGTGCACATTCAGTCTGTCAGTATCTTTGTGCTTCCCTCCTCTCATCTGCGACTTAGACCCAGCCCCCTGCTCCTCAGTGTCCTTGGCACGTGAGGAAAAATGAAATAAATAAATGTTACACAGATGAGAGAATGAAGCTTATTAGTAGAAATAAGTATTTTTTTAAAATGTTTCTTAATCCCCAGCAGGCTCCACACTGTCAGTGCAGAGCCTGGCTTGGGGCTTGATCTTACAAACTTGAGATCATGATCTGAGTTAAAATCAAGAGTCCGCGACTGAGCCACCCAGGTGCTCCAAGAAGTATTTTTTATATATATTGTTTCAAAATTACATGCCACCTTATAGTCTGTATGATTCCTTGTATGGAGTATTGGTGGCAACTTTTTAATCCTTGGATGCTAGTGTGTGCTAAAGACAGACTGGTCTGATTTTATCGCTTTCGTTGGGTTTATTCTCAAAAACAAACAAACCCAAAACCTGCTAGGTCTTTTTTTTTCCTTCACATTTTGATATAAACAAAATGTACAGGCCATGGGAAGCTATGGAAACATCAAACCGAAGTCAGAAACAAAATAAAACGTCCATACATGTACCATTTTCCAAGAGTGTGGAGACTTGTGATTTCAGTATCTCGTTCTGGGTTGGTTCTATACTGGCCCAGAGGGTCTTTGCAAAATTGGATGTTAGTAGGAAGTAAAAGGTGGATAACATATTAGGAAAAAAAGGGAGGGAGGTTGCTTTTGATGGCTATGGACCTTGAGCATACTTCAAATGCTAAAATAAAAATGGAAATTTTAGGGGCACCTGACTGGCTCAGTTGTGGAGCATGCAACTCTTGAAATCAGGGTATGGGTTCAAGCCCCATGTTGGGTGTAGAGATTACTTAAAATATTTTAAAACATGGAAGTTTTAGAAAGTTTTGAGTTTTAATGGTAAAGCAATGAAATGTTACAAACCTGTGATTTGAGTCCCTAGACAGATGCTAGCATTGGCTTCATACAGGTAAAAAATGACATTTAGGTACTGTTATGGAGCGTACTGGGCAAAAGCGCTGTGTATGAATTGATTGTGTTCTTGAGTTAGTATAATGACCCCATGAGATAGATTCTGTTATTATTCCCATCCCCCTTTAAATCTCATTCCCGGACAGACAGGAAGCCAGGCTGAGAGAGATGAGGGGCTCTGCTCAGGTTTGTGCCCCGGTCAGGAGGTGAGATGAGGAAACTAACCTCTGCCCGCACTTTTAATTACCAGGTCATAATGCCTCCTGCTGCCGTTCTTGGGTTGAAGGAGGTAGTTATTTTCATGAACTGTGAATGTTAATTTGGGAATAAAATTATATTCAGATCTTTTGAGACATTTGAGAGATAAAGCTATGTGATACTCTGGAATTCTAAGTGGAATTTACAACCAAAATGGTATATTTGGCATCTCGTTCCTTCTCCGTAGTTAAATATAGGATTTGATTCATTTTTTTAGTCTAGAAGTTTACTTAGACATCGTAACTCATTTATGACTCAACTGATCTTTAAAAATTTAGTTTGAGTTATTTATACAAAATAAGAATCAAGGACTGGGGGGTTATCCTCTGCCTTCTGGAGGAGAGGGCAGCATGTCTACATTTTGGAATTCTTTGTAATTCTTCTGAACGGGATATTTGTTCCCCTCTGTTTATTTATTTGGTCATTTGTTTATATCAGTATGGACCCTCGGACTGTCTCAGTCCATTCAGGCTGCTACAGTACCACACGCTGGGTGGCTTATAAACAACAGAAATTTATTTCTCACAGTTCTGAGTCTGGAAGTTAAGGTCAGGCACCTGCTTGGTTGGGTGAGGGCCTTCTTTTAGGTCACTGACTTGGTGAATCTGCACATGGCGGAGTCTAGGGATCTCCGGAGCCTCCTAGAAAGCACTAGTCTCATTCATAAGGGTTCCACCATCAGGGCTTCAGCATTTCCCAGGGAACGCCATCGCCTTTGGGAGTTCGGATTTTAACCTGTGAGTTTGGGAGGATGGGACACAAACATTCAGACTGTAGAGTGGGTATTATTGTACTCTTTGGATTCTACTCCAGGGCTTTATTTTGTTACTCAGATGGTTCCATGGTTTAATAATTGGGAGCTCTTTCAATCGACTTTCGTATCCTTGACCTGCCCCGTCGTCTCTTCTGTGTACACACTTAGCACCTCCTTACTTCATGTTACTACAGGATGCTCCAAGTTCATCTTACGTGTTGTGAGTACTTACCGTAGACTCCACCGTTTCTCCAAGGAGCTGTGGTTCCTTTTAGTGGGGAGTGGTGTTAGAAACGCAGATCCGGGTGCTACGTGTGCTTGGTGGTCCTGGTGTATTGTTGCGTCCAGGCTCTCTCAGCTGACCTAACAAGGAAATGGGTGTGTGTATACTGACCTGAGTATATATAGAGTTTATCTACCAGGATTTGAATGCGTCACCATCTCTATCTGTATTAGGCTAAATGGGAGTTCATACTGATGTGTCAAACTCGTCCCTTAGTTACCCTGTAGATCATTCTAGACTCCTCCTCTTGCTTATCTGTTACATCCTGCTCTACCACTGAGAAGCCTCATTTCCACCACCCACTTCTTTAGTTGTTGAGTTCCAGGATACGTGAGTCGTGGTGTGAGGATGTTAAATTCTGCCTCTGTGGGACAACTCTGTCCGCTCGAGTACATTGATTCCGTAGGGTTTCTTTTGCTTTTAGTCCTACAGACTTGACTCATTTCTGAAGTTACTTAGGTCAGCACCTCCCCGCCCACCTCCTTTGTTGAGGTGGTTTCGTACAGTTGTAATGCATTAAGATTCTGTGGCTGTATGCTGCCTTCCATTCCGGGAGAGCCGGACTTTTCTAAACGTTTTCTTAAAATTTTACTACATCTCTGAGTTTTGACAAATACATCAGGTCACTTCTTCGCCGTCATAGTATTATGTGGGAGAGTTTTATCGCCCTCAGGGTGCCCCGCACTTCACCCAGTCTGTCTTTCTCCCCTCCCCCACACCCCCAGGGCACCTGGCAGCCGTGGGTCTTTTTATTCTGTCCTGCCTTTTCCAGAATGTTGTATAATTGCAATTACACAACACGCAGCCTTTTCGTACTAGCCTTTTGCACTTAGCATTGTGCATTGAAGCCTGATCCATATTTTTACATGGCTCAGTGGCACGTTTCTCTTTTGCTGAATGATATTTGTGTGGATACCTCACAGAAGTGTGTCCACTGCCTATTGCGGGACAGTCTTGGTGCCTTCAGTTCAGGATGGTGACGTGTGAACCGGCTGTCTGCAGTCACAGGCAGGTTCTGTGGGGATGTCAGTGTCCAGGTCAGCTGGGTAAATACTTAGTAGTGTGGGTGCTAGGTCATACACTGAGGTTATGTTTAGCTTTTTCAGAAGCTGCCAGTCTTGGGGCGTCTGGGTGGCTCAGTCAGTTAAGCGTCCGACTTCGGCTCAGGTCATGATCTCACGGTTTGTGGGTTCGAGCCCCGCGTCGCGTTCTGTGCTGACAGCTCAGAGCCTGGAGCCTGTTTCAGATTTTGTGTCTCCCTCTCTCTCTGCCCCTGCCCTGTTCACACTGTATCTCTCTCTCTCAGAAATAAATAAAACATTAAAAATTTTAAAAAAAAGAAGCTGCCAGTCTTCCAAAGTGATTGCCATTTTGCATTCTCACCAGAGCGAGTGAGAAATTTTACGGCTCCATATGCTTGTGAAACTTGACAGTCCATTTTTAAATGTTTGCCATTCTAACAGGTGTATAGTGGGATCTCGTTTTTAACTTCAGTTCGCTAATGACAGAGGGGCAACATTTCATATGCTTACTTATCATATCTGTATCTTTTCTGATGAAATGTCTGTTCAATCTTTGACTCACTTTTAATTGGGTTGTTTGTTTTCTTGTTGAGTTGTCAGTGTTCTTTGTATATTTTTGACACAAGTCCTTTAATCTGATGCGTACGCTGACAAGCAGGGCTGGTGTGGTGGTGCACTAAGGGGAGCTGAGACGGCCAGGAGGAGTCAGTTGTGAGTCCACATTTCCAGCCAGTGTCTCGGGGATGGAGGGGAGCACTGGCTGCAGAAAGAGGAAACCTGAGAGTAGAAGCCCCTTTGGGAAGAAGGGGGCGGAGGTGACTCACTTCGTTTTGAGTCACGGTGGAAGAATATCGAGGGACTGGAGATGGAAGAGACATTACGGTTCCTGATTCAGATTTTGCTGTCATCATCATAGATTATTGAAGAGAAAGCAGAGTAAGGAGCAGGTGGAAGTTGGGGTAAGAACAGTACCGGTGTGTCACAAAAGTGTTGACGTTTTAAGAAGGAATCAAGCGTCAAACATGAACCGCTGTGAAGGACCGAGGGACATTGTTGAAGAGAGTGAGCAGTCTGCATTGTCACTGTCTTCAAGGTCAAGTCAGCTGTCAGTTTACTTCAACGTCCTACACCTTTCGTACCTGGGGACTGTGATTTACTCTGTCAGGAGAGCTCTGTCTTACTTTATTGAGTCTCTTATCTTCAGCGCCTTGTAGAACTTCTCAAATTGAATTTTACATCGCTGGGGCTCTTTTGCCCTGCCATCAGACTCAGTCTTCGTTTTCTTTTATCTAGTACAACTGTGTAATTATGTATCCGTAGCTATCCATCTGTCTGTAGTATAAATTGACTGTTGTAGTAGTGAATTCATTGAAAAGATTATTTGCCTTCTCGACTCCACCATTCTTTGAAGCATCATAGCGCTTGTGACTTCAGTCCCCGGCAGAAATAATTAGCACATGTTAATTCCGTGGCTGGTCTGGTGGAGGGAACATGCAGCTTATTCCCAGGGGTCATAACGATATGCTTCCTTTTCTTCTTTTCTGCCACAGAAAGTGCAGTTTTCTGTTTCCTTTTTTACCAGATTGTCCCTAAGGATGGTAATTACTGACTAATTCACAGAGGGGACACAGTAGTAGAAGATAATTTCCATCACAGGTTGATAATTACTGATAGCCTGTTTGTGATTTGGAGTTGTTTAATGAATGGCGTACCAACCCGAAGCACCAATCTCACAACATACAGTTTTGTATTTTCAGCATGAAAATATATAGAAGCACTTTGTCTGAAAATCCTACGTATATTCAAAAGTTGTGGTTATTAGACCGAAATTATTTCAGTGACACTGACCACATACCTGGAATAGCAGTGAACAATTGTTATCCTGAGCCGATTACTGTTAATACTGTTGGATTCCGTGCCCCTGAGAAAAAGGAGTCTTTTGTGCCATAAACAATGAAGGATACGGATTTATGCAGTAAACACGTTTTTAGTACCTAAATGATATTCTCCTGTTCGCTTCCCCTCCTAGAGTCTCGCTCACCTTGATTATTAAAGCAATGGTTACTCTTTCCAGAAAGATGTGAGTACTTGGTGAGTCTTACCTGCACAGCATGGGGGTACAGCCCTGGCCCAAGTACACACTGAAACACGCTCTTGGAAAGCAGCTGTGTAACATTGTGTATAGTCTGTAGCTTAAAACTTTTTTTTAATGTTTATTTATTGCTTTGAGAGAGACAGAGAGCAAGTGGGGGAGGGGCAGAGAGAGAGGGAGACGTAGAATCTGAAACAGGCTCCAGGCCCTGAGCTGTCAGCACGAGCCTGACGTGGGGCTCAAACTCACCAACCTTGAGATCATGACCTGACCTGAACTGAAGGCAGACGCTTAACCGACTGAGCCCCCCAGGCGCCCCACTAAACTTTAAACTTTAGTTTAAAGTTGATAAAGTTACTAACTTTTGTCTTTTTTAATGTTTTTTTAGTTAGTGGCAAAATAGACATAACCTAAATTTGCCATTTTTACCATTTAAAGTATATAATTCAGTGGCATTAATTATACTCCCAGTATGTACTGTGACCTTCACCTCTGTCTACTTCTAAAACTTTGCCTTCACCGGAAACAGAATTCTGTACCTATTAGGTAATAATTTCCCATTCTTCCCTCCCTCAGCCCCTGGTAACTCCTAATCTACTTTGTCTCTATGAATTTGCCTAGTCTAGGTAGGCCATATAAGTGGAATCATAGAATATTTATCCTTTATCCTTGTGTTTGGGTTTTTTTTAATTTACCGTATTATTTTCGAGATTTCCCCCAAGTTGTAACGTGTATCAGGACTTAAGTCCTCTTCATGGATGAATAATATTTCACTGTATGTGTGTACATCTTTATACTCTTTATATTTTAAATCAGTCTTAGCATAATGTGTAATTTTTCTATATTTTCGATGCTTACAAAGGTGTCATATAGGTTAATTTTATTCTTTTTAATTCTTTTACAGGTCTGACAGATGAAAAAGTGAAGGCATATCTTTCCCTTCACCCCCAGGTATTAGATGAGTTTGTATCTGAAAGTGTTAGTGCAGAGACCGTAGAAAAATGGCTGAAGAGGAAAAACAACAAATCAGAAGGTAAGGTCTCATTCGGATTGAATGGGGATTATTTTCTAGTTTATATTGAGAAAAAAACATGGGTATTTAATACACGCTAGAAAATATAAAGTAGACAAAATTAGCATTTTAATTCTGTCAAAGTTTTACTCTGTTTAAAAGATAAAATAAGTTAGAATGAGAGGAAGTAAATACACTAAGATCCTTGGCTACAAAAACTTGGCAAAGTACTTATGAAAGTTTACTTGGATAGGACATGCTGAAAAATGCAGAAGTTAGCATTAGGCTTGATTTCATTTAGTGATTATTAATGATTATACAAATGTGCTTTATATTTCAAAAATATTACTTTTTGCAGAAAGAAATCATTAAATAATTTTTGTACGTACACAGTAGGAAGAGAACTCTTGACTTTGCATTAGACATTTTGTTCACATTCATGAACTTAAGATGCTGTTATGACAAAAGGGATGTGGACTCAAAAGGGAGGTGAAGTGAAATAAGTTTCCCCTTACATTGCACATGTGTTAATACACTGGGTCTGAATATCGTAGTGTAGTTTTAAATGAATGTATATTTGGCCAAATGTGACTTCTTGTTTCTGTGAATGTTCTTCTTACAGTAGAAATTTATGTGACATATGATTTTAACTCTATGAAGAACTTTTATGTAAAAAACAAATATATGCTGTTTTTCTGGAAATGTATTTAGTATAACAAACTGCCATGAGTAAAGCTTACAAATAATTGCTATTAAGAAGTTATGCTGTTATGACTGTGGCCCTGATAGGCTCCTTGGGCTGATTTTCCTCTAATTTTCAAAGTTTCTATGATTTTCTTATGGAATTTCTATAATAAAGAGAGAAACCTTTACAAAAGAGTGCTTTTGACATTGAAACAAAAATTAGATTTTAAACTACACATGTGAGTATGTGCGTGTGTGTGTGTGTGTGTGTGTGTGTGGATTGAGAGGGAGAGAGAAATAGAAATAGATTGCAGAAACAAACAGCATTTTTTTCGAAACAACCACAGCATTTAACACTGAGGACAAAGCTTGACAGGGCGTATCTCAGCTATGACACACCTCCGGCGTTTGGAAAGTCTGAGATGTTTGATGCTTCGAAAGACTGAGTTGTGCTTAAGGCACATCATATAAATAAAGATGCGGATTTTATCAACTTGCTATATAATGATGGATAATAATATAGTGCAAGAGTAGGTGATGTTTGTGAGATGGGAAATTGAGTATAGGTTTTAGAGAATGACAAATTTTGCATCGTGTCTTAGCGTTACCATGGTATTGTTAAACATCTCATAGATTTTTATAAATATCTGAATGTGCCATTCCTTGTGTTTCAAATCTGTTTTCTATGTTAGTTAATCAAATAATACTTTAAACTGTTGAACACACACACTCGAGGTAAAGGCTTATTAGGAATAGCAGGTGTAGCTGAAGCAATGCTCACTTGTACCTGAAGTGGAGGTGATCTTGCTGGTGACCCTGATGAGGCCTGGGATCAAGAAGAAAAAGAAGCTCGATGAGGTTGGGGCTTCCCTCTGGCGGTGGGGCCCCTGCAGACAGGCTGCACCCCGCTTACAGTGCAAACACTGCAAAGGAAACTTTAATTGTCCGCTGTGGTCTGCTGGGACCCTTCCGCCCCTTCCGCCCCTTCCTCCAGGGACTTTATCCCGAGAAGGTATCTCAGGACACAGCCCTTGCAGACCTTGTAAACGGAGGTGTAGGCTCATCTTGTGGGAGTGGCTTGAAGAAAGCCCCACCCAGTTTCCGTGGACACACTTTGTCCCCTTGTGTGATTCTACATTAATGTAGTGGCCGAACCATGTGTCTGTTCTCCATCGCTCCCTTACTGTTTTTTGAAATTCTGTGTTCTCAGTGAGGCCTTCTCCTTCCACATGGCTTCACTGAAAATGCTTTGAGAAAGGACATTTTTGTGGAGAGGGTTTTTGGGGAGTGTTTCCGTTTCCACGTCAGACCCAGGGACAGAAAGTGTGACAGATAGAAGTTCTGGGAGAATATTGTTGAAAATGGGAGAGAGACAGGCCTATCCAGATTGTATCACTTTGTGTCGGTTTAGTAAGAGAAAATGAACTAAGGAAAACCGTGCTTTATGCACAACAAGTACTCAGTAAATATTTATTTTCATCCACGGACAAGGTGGCCTCGTGTGGAAGTGCTCTGCACTATAGGGAAACCACGCAAAGGTACTCCATTTAGGGAAAGATCATCTACGAAAATTCAGATTTCAGCAAATGAATGAATAACAGGGTGATTATTTACATTACAGAAGGGTGTTTGCTCTTAAAACGTCCAGCGTTCATGCTGCTGGCAGGTGTTTTCCTTGGTGACATCACACTGTCCGAAACGCTCGTGTCTCCTCCTTCACATAGTGTTTTATTGAGCACCTACTCGTTCAGTGCTCAGAGGCTTAATGCCAAAGAGAAAGAGGACGTGTGGCCGATTTCAGTCACGCTGTGGCAGAGCTCACGATGCATCAGGGCTGTGTGACCAGAGCAGGTGTGATTTCCAGGGGGTTTCACGTGTGTTGACCGTTCACATCTGCCGACAGTGAGTGAGGGGCACGTGGCCACGTTCACTGGGTGGGTTCTGAGGGTGCCCCAAAGGAGGGTGACAGATGACAGGTCACCAGAGGCCTAGCAGCTGGTTCTCAGGGATCCAGGGACAGTAACTGAGTCGCTGGAGGGCTCTGGCCATGGGATTTATAGTTACTTTTGTATCCCTTGTCAGCAGCACCCCATGCCTCGGGGAGGGGCTCTCTGAACATTGTGAGTGAATGACTAAGTCAACGAGGTGGGTTGTTCCTCAGCCTCCAAGGGAACCTCTGTCAGGATTGCGCCACATACCAGAGCCACTTTTACGCCCTTGTTGTCTCCCTTACTCATTTAGAAACTTCTTGAGGGAAGGGATTGTATAACGTATATTTGTCCCTCCCCGTACGTTGTCTTTTCGCGTAGTCAGCAAACTATGGTGACGCGCTGTTGTGCTAGATGAAGTTTCTGGGGAGTTCACAGTCAGACAGAAGAGAGGAGTAAGTTTCTGTCTTGTTCCAGTTCGCGGGACTGAGGCTGAGCAGAGCTCAGGCGTGGAGGCTCTGAGCCAGAGTGGGCTGCGGAGGGGCCCGCACCACAATGAAGCACTCTGCTTTGTGCCGGCAGGGAAGGGGACTTGGGAAAGGTGACCCCCACGTGTCTTCACAGATTGGCATTTCCAAAGTCGGTCTTTACTATTACTGTTCTCGGTTTAATCTAATTGCTTTTATAACGTTTGCATTTTAAATGCACAGAGTTCTATCTGTAGTTGTGAGGCAAATTGCCTTTTGAAGGTGAATTTTGGGACCTCTGATCCCAAATTCCAAGCAGTTGATTTTCAAGTGATGTTGGGAATTGGAGGTAGCGTTTATTCCTTTTATAACTTTAGGTTCTCATTTAGAGAATGGATAAATATTCCCTGAAGATATTGGGGACTGTACCCACTCACAGCCATACTAACATTTGGGAAAAACTTCAGGAAGAAAAAAAGTTACCGAGGTCATGAATTGAATTATTTTACTACATTTCATATTTTATGTTAATTTTTATGTAAGGTAAATTTGACAGGCCCCGCTGGTACTCATCAAGACGCAGATTACTAAACTATTGAACATCTACACAAGTATCAAGGTATAAATATCAAATTAACACATCAACGTTAGGATATGATGAAGATCCAATCCTTTGCATTTCTGGTGGGAACATTCTAAGATAGAACACAGTTCTACATCCCTAATGCCATTTCAGTGTTTCACTTATGCTCAGGAAGAATCGCGAATTACCTGCACTGTCAGCAATGTCCCCTTTTGGCTTCTAATGTAAAAAAGTTTTTTTATTTTTTAATTTTTTTAAATTTATTTTTGAGAGAGAGATAGAGACAGCGTAAGCAGGGGAGGGTCAGAGAGAGAGGGAGACACAGAAATTGAAGGCTCCAGGCTCTGAGCTAGCTGTCAGCACAGAGCCTGACACAGGGCTTGAACCCACGAACCATGAGATCATGACCTGAGCTGAAGTCGGAAGCTCAACCGACTGAGCCACCCAGGCGCCACTGTAAAAAACTATTAGTTGACAGTGTCGGTGGCGTCAGATGGGGGTGCATGAGAAGGGAGAACATTGAAAGTCAGTGTGATTATATTTGGCATCTCCTGATATTAGAATAATATTTAAAATACATGGACTTTGTTTAAAATCCACAAAGCATAACTGTGATTTTCATCTTCTAAAGGTAAGCTGTTTGGTATTCAAGAGGGTGATTGATCGGACCCAAGTCATTTAAGAATTATAAGCATCAGTGTCATCTAATATGTCTAAGAATTTCTACTATTACTGTGTTTATATGTCTAAAATATTAAATAGACCATATCACTATTGGTGTACCTATAAATGTCCAGTAATTAACATTGGTGCTGTCAGCTGCCTTACATATTTTCAACAAATACATGAATGGTTTCTCTTTATACTCAAAGAATGTAGTTAGTACATATTTTCCCCCTCTCCATGATTCTCAGGATGGGACAATTTTCATTCAAATAAAACTACTAAATGTTTCATACCTAGAATTAGTGAGATTTAAATCATGTGCCCTAAACCTACTATATGCAGCCTGAAATGCAGATTAAATAGCATTTGTCCTGCTTAGCATATAACAGATGGTTTCTGTGCGAGTATTTATAATGTAGTGGGATATTCAGTTAATGGGGCATGAATTAGCTTGCCAAAGCGTGCACTGTTAGAAGGTTTTAGTAACCAGGACACTGATAAATTATGTGTTAATTATTAGTACATATCATGAATAAGGAAAAACCCACCACATCATAGAAATGGTTTACTTGAAACATCATTTTGGGCACTTTCTTTTCCTTGAAAAGAAACTGACTTTGTGTCAGTTATGTAAATTACATTTTCACATAGAAATTTTGTGTCTCTTTTTTTTTGGAATGGAAACAAAATGTGTTGAATGCCTTGATTTGCATTATAAATAATCATAAGTTCACAATCTAGTTACTAGAAGGGGGATACAGTTCATTTGCAAAGAGTTACTTGATGTAATCCATTAATTCTGTTAATTGTTCGTATTACTGCAAGGGTGTATCTTTAATTTATTCTTTTTGAGAGTGTTTGGTCTATGTAGCAACCTAATCAAGTTGATTGGGATTTTGATCATTTTAAATATTAATTCAGATCATCACAAATAACATTAGTGATTATGAAACTAATCCGAATAATTTTAGTAGCTTTGTTATAAGCTAGATTAATTTCTGAAGCGGATTTTATAATACCTGTGAAGTCCCTAGCAGTGGTAGCCATTATTTGTACATTCAACATCGTTACTGCATTTCCTAATTAACTATTTTGTTCATAAGTGATTTTGATGAATGAAAATGTTATGAGCTAGTGGATTTTTGAGACTACTTTGTTTTCTTTCATTGGTGTTTCTTTTCATAAAATTTGTATTTTCTGATGGTCTGTGTAATAGAAAAGGATGTTTAATTAAAATCATTGCATCTATTTATTTATTTTTTTTTTAATGTTTTATTTATTTCTAGGAGAGAGAGACAGCGTGAGCAGGGGAGGGCCAGAGAGAGAGGGAGTCACAGACTGAAACAGGCTCCAGGCTCTGAGCTGGCAGTCAGCACAGAGCCCGACGCGGGGCTCGAACCCACAAACCGCGAGACCATGACCTAAGCGAAAGTCAGAAAGTCGGACGCTTAACCGACTAAGCCACCCAGGCGCCCCTCATTGCATCTATTTAATAGTTTATTTTAGCATTTAAATTTATGGTTTACTTAACATGGATTTTAAAAACTAAAATGAAAACTTGTGAGAGATGTGTAGTGAAATCATTTCTCATTTTTAAAATCTACTTTTTAAACGCTTCCTAAAGGTTTAACGATGATTTAGATTATTTGATTAAAGATTCAATAATAATGTCTACAAGCATCCAATTGAGTGGCGAAGTTGTAGCTGGAACGTGACCAGATACTACTCATTTCTGTAGCTAGGGATTCAGTATGCCAGTTAACAAGTATTTCTTGAGGGGCTCCTGGTGGCTCAGTTGATTAAGTGTCTGCCTCTTGATATCGGCTCAGGTCATGATCTTGCGTGGAGCCTGCTTGGGATTCTGTGTTTTCCTTTCCCTCTTCCCCTCTCTCCTGCTTGCACTCTCTTTCTTTCAAACAAACAAATAACTAAAATTTTGAGTACCTACTATGGGAATATAACTAGAGAAGAAGGAGTATAAACTTGCTCTCTAGAAGGTCACTATTCTGACGGAAGCAGACAATAAACCCATAATCAAAGAATAAGATTATCTCATGATTTGTTGGCATGTATATTTGAAAACATCTAGCCTAATGTCTAGCAAACAAATTTTTAGTAGAAATATATTTGCTTGAGATTTTAAGATTCATGTCATCTGCTTCTGGCTAGTCCAACAGGGCCTGTGTATTAAGCAGATACGTCTGTTTGCTGTGTCCTGGGGTCCTTGTGAGTCACGGGAGCCATATTTCTTGTGTTTACTGTCCTTGAGGGACATACACTTCTGGTGTGGAAAGAAAAAACTGTGAGAGCA